TTTAAACGTTTTGGGCCTCTGTTAGAGTGTAAGACCCATTTCATTTTAATACCTTTTGGGCCTCTATTAGAGTGTAAGTCCCTCCCATCTTCCTTAAAACTTTATTTAACTTCTCAAAACATTCAATTTCTTGAAACATTCAATTTCTCAAAACATTCAATCCCTCAAACATTCAATCTTTACAAAACTCTATCTTCCACTTTCATCAAACAAAGCCATAATGGCATTTTTTCAAACTTTTTGGGCCTCTGTTAGAGTGTAAGACCCATTACATTTTCAAACCTTTTGGGCATCTGTTAGAGTGTAAGAACCATTATATTTTCAAACCTTTTGGGCATCTATAAGAGTGTAAGACCCACCTTTTTTTTTCAAGTCAACCATGCTTAGACATGGGCCTTTATAAGAGTGTAAGAACCACCTCTTTTTTTCCAAGTCAAACATGCTTAGACATGGGCCTCTATAAGAGTGTAAGACCCTTCACTTTCAATTCATGTCTATACTTGTCATGTACTTGTTCATATTAAGTTTCTCTTGACATTTATAACACTTCATCCATAGTTTAAACTTAGTTCAAACATTAGGATTCACTCAATTATAACTTAGTTCAAACCCTAGTTCCCATTGGATGAAGTCAACTTCACCACAACCTCCTCTTGGGCTTTATAAAAGGACCCTCAGGCTTCTTAAAAGCATCATAGCCTCCATCTTGGACTTCATACAAGATACCATCAATTCAAAACTACCCCCAGTTAAATCAGCCTCCTTTCAGGCTATAAAAAACCTTTTTAGCTTCACATCTTAGGTTTTGAACAAGATACAAACAAACCTTTTTAGTTTCACATCTTGGGCTTTGAACAAGATACTCAAATAAATCAACTTCTCCCTAGAGATGAGACATTGAGTCATTTCTGTAGGAATATATTTCTTCTATACACAACAATTCAAAATCAAACATTAAAAACGTTTTTCCATATAAGTGATGTAAGCGACACACTTGTTGATTCAAAATCCAAAGTGGAGTCCTTCTCTTATCATGGTCCAAAAATTTTATTTCATCTAAGTGATGTAAGTGGCACACTTGTTGATTCTATATCCTAGTTAAGGTCCTTCTCTTAGCATGCAAAGAATCATAAAGGAAGATGTGGCATTGCTTAGGATTTTTTAACATCTAAGTTCAAAGCTTCTTCCCTTATGATATCATTCTCAAATGTTTGTGATGAATAGGTGGGATACCTCCCTTTAAAGATGACAAATTTGTATTTTCTTTCAAACCAATAAATACCCTTTTAGCTTCCTTGTCTTGGGCTTTGAACAAGATACAAATCCCACCCATAGTTAGGTGGAACTACAGACGCTCTGATTTCTAGTAGGCATAAGACTGCGAGATCTTAGCGAGCACACTTTTAAATAAAACCCCTTAGGTCCTCATACCTTTCATAAAACAAAAACTCCTAAAAACATCTCATATTCTTGTTCTCACCCATAGGTTAAAACTTTCCCAAGTTGACAGTAAACAAGTATATGAAATAAATGATAGTAAAAAGTAGATGATAATAGCTTCCCTTAGTATAATCAACCGTCGATTCCAGATCTCTTTGCATTTATAGGGAAAACACTTGCACACATGGTTAATTTAGATTTCTTCCCCTTCCTTTAAAGCATCATAGGATAAATATTAGAAATTTGAAAGTGGCATAAGCACGGTTCACGGGAATCTCACCATCTCAGAATTGGTGGGGTCACATAAATCGGTCCACATCTTGAATTGGGTCCCCCCTTATGAACCCACAAGCCATATCTTCTGATCTCTAAGCCCCCTTTTATGAGCTTGGGACAAGCCATTAATCTCCTCTTCTGAACTAGTAGACATGCCTCTTGACACAATTCGTATGATGCATGAGCATACCATTAAATCAATGAGTTAAGACCCCGCTTTTAATACCAACATAATGAATTGACAACTCTAGTAATTATCTCTCTGGATTACATCTCAATTGCAATCACAAAATGTACAACATATAATTTAGTGCAACTCAAGTATACAATCTATCTCCTCAATTAGATTATTACTCATACATGCAACAACACAATAATCATAAATATCACATCAAAACATAATGAAATCGTCACACTCTTAATTAACATGGAAACATCATTATTAAAACATCATCATCAAGTAGTTCATGAGATAGCTTTGTGTGTTAGCTTCCTAATGCTTCAAACGTCGTCTCATTTGGACTTACAGAACGAAAGTTATGGCCAAAATCATTGGACAATGCAACAAAAGAAAACAAACGTTCTGGAAGTTTAGAGTCGATACACAACATTTATGATTCGACTCCCATCACTTATGTATCGACTCCCATCACTTACGTATTGATACTTACTGTGCAGTTTTAAAAAATTCCAATTCTATTGGAGTTGACTCCTTATTTTCTATTATTCTATTCTCTCAATTTAATTAAATAATTCAACTAAAATACTATTATTTAATTATTAAAAATAGGCTCTAGTAATTCTAGCTCACCTCTATTAATCTCTAATCACTCCCCACACTTCTACCTCAAGGTTACACACCATGACACCCATATTAATTTAATTATCACACATATTAATTAAATTAAATCATAATAATTTAAATAATTTAATAAATCAAGAATTGGGGTGTTACAACTCTCCCTTACTTAAATAATTTTTGCCCTCGAAAATTACCTTTAGCAAATAGAGTCGGATACGATCCCCTCATCTGAATCTCTAGCTCCCAAGGCACGTCTCCACTAGCAGTTCCTCCCTAAGCCACCTCCACCAAGGTAATCTCTTTACCATATAACTGCTTCACTTCTCGATCCTCTATCGGTAATGCCTCAACAGTCAAGTCATCTTTCATCTGTATATCATCCACTTGGACCACATGAGATGAGTCCAGAATGTATCTGCTCAACTGAGACACATGAAACACGTCAAAAAGATTAGCCAGCAAAGGTGGTAAAACAATCTGACAGGCCACCTCTCATATCCTCTACAAAATTTGGTACAAACCAATAAAACACGGAGTGAGCTTTCTCTTTAAAGCTTGACCAACACTAGTTATCGGAGTAACTCTAAGAAACACATGATCGTCCTCTTGGAACTCAAGTTCTTTCCTCTTCTTGTCATGGTAACTCTTTTGGTGACTGTGCGAAAATCTCATCTTGTCTTGAATCACTTTAATCTTCTCTGTCGTTTGTTGGATAATCTCATGCCCAATTACAACACTCTCTCCCGATTCATACTAACACAAAGGTGTGTTACACCTTCTATCATAAAACGCTCAAACAGTGACATTCCGATACTCGAATGGAAAACGTTGTTATAGGTAAACTCTATCAACGTTAAAAATCTATCCTAAACACCTCCTTTCTGGAGCACACAAGCCCTCAGAAAGTCTTTTAAAGATTGGATAGTCCTCTTCGTCCAACCATCTGTCAGTGGATGATAAATGGAACTCAACTGTTATTTCTTACCCAATGCTTTTTGCAGGCTCTCCTAGAACCTTGAAGTAAATCTCAGATCTCTATCTAATACGATATTGGAAGGAATGCCATGCAGACTGACAATCTTCTCAATATACATCTCCGATAATTTCTCCAATGGGTAATTAAGTCTCATCGGAAGAAAATGAGCCGATTTAGTTAACCTATCGACGATGACCCAAATCATATAACAACCCTTCATTGTCCTCAGCAAACCAGACATAAAATCCATCAAAATGTTGTCCCATTTCCACTTTGGAATAGACAACGACTGCATCAAACCCAACGACTTCTGATGCTCGAACTTTGACTTCTGATAAGTCAAACATGCATACACAAAACTAGCGACCTCCTTCTTCATTCCTGACCACCAAAAGATCCTCTTCAAGTCTTGATACATCTTAATAGCACCGAAATGAATACTCAAGCCACTTCGGTGACCTTCGTCAAAAATATTATGCTTAAGTTCTGACACATTTAAACAAATAGTTGATTCCTCCATGTTTATCATCTGACACGCTTTTTGGACAAATTTTTTTTACAATACCCATACAAGATCGAAGTAGAAAAATATCGCTCTGCGATTCTCTTAATTGCGGGGAAAGATGCATTAAAACAACCTTGACATCTCTCTTAATGGTCAACCCCTCGATAATACTTCTATCTCAAAAAATACCCCATCCAACAAATTTCATGCCCAACGCTAACTATCAAATATCCAAAAAGAACAATTCTGACAAAATTTACTTCTATCACATGAAGGCAAAAAAAAGTATTCATCTTACAATAAATCAACTCAAGGTCCAATCCTAACTCCATATCTTGAACAATATTAAAGGCCATAACACCTTTATCTAAATCTCCTATGATGATCCCATCATCAAAATATCAGCCATTTTTTTTATCCAAATCAAAAGCACTTTATATTTTTTTTCATCTTAAGCATTACTCCAACCGACCACTATTTAACCGACCACTATTAATGGAACATTTATAAATCAAAACACGCTCCCTAAGATGAGTTTGGTTATAAAAGTTAGAGAATACTTTGTTTAACAAGATTGAAAAGAGTGCTTTTTAACACGTGACTAACCATAACAACTTTAGTTTTAAAAATTAAAACGTAATCATACTCACTTTATGGTCTAAAATAGACCTGGCCAAACCAACTTTAGTTTATATATTATTTTACTCAAGTCTTCATTCTTCCACCGTGTTTCACCACTTAGCAGCCCAATGACAAAATCAAACCTTATAATCATTCAACCATTTAATCAATTTGTGACATGATTCCCACATTCCAAGTGTTGTCCTTTCATTATAAAACCCCATAATCCTCCATTATTAGTCATAGCACTGTCAACACCAACCTCTATAATATCCTTCTCTTAACATTACTTATCTATTCACATTCTTCATTCCATTATATTTTCGACTCTTTATAAAAAAATATTTTCTGTCTCCTTGATCATTTCCATTTGCTAGCTCATGGACTCACACAAGCAACTTTTCATCCTGTTATGTCTTTCTCTAGTCCTTGTACTTTTTTCAGGTATGCATGATTATGAATTTATCCTCTCATAATATCAAACACACACTACAACAATGAATCCCTCGTAGCCGCATTGCGGTTGCGTAAATACTTTCGCAATTTCGATTTGTGCAACGGTTGCGACATCTTCTGATAATTTTTGTGGTGGCTGTTTTCGCAGAAACTGAGTTTTTTTTTAAAACCTTGATTTTCCCTAATGGTTAATCAAAAACCTAAACTTACTATACATCTTGTTGTTGGTTGTTATTAGGGGTGCAAGTTGAGGCCAAGCGTCACATCAAATACCATCCTTCAAAAGAATTGTTTGTTTTTGGAGACTCATATGTTGACACCGGCAACACCCCAAAAAGTAAACCGGGTTCATGGAAACAACCTTATGGCATAACCTTTCCCGGAAAACCTGCCGGAAGATTTTCCGATGGCAGAGTCTTAACTGACTTCATTGGTACGTATACTATAATAATATTAATAACTGGATTGGAACACTTCAAAGTACATGCTTTCTTCAAAGTGCATGCTTTTTAATTGATTTATTTTATTTTTATTTCTCTACTTTTCTAGCTTTTACATGAAAAGTGATGCGTTGGGAATTAATTCACATGCTTTATTTCAATTTTTATTGTATTATACACTTTCTCATTAATTTTTCCTCGCTGGCTTGCCACTTTACCTATTAATTTATGTTTCTTTCATTCATAAAATGATGCATATTATTTGGTGTTTTGTGTTGAGGAATTTGAACTACAATTTTTTTTTCTTCTTTTTGTCATAAAAACGTATATATTTTCTTGCTTAATTTGTTTTTACTTCTACGAGGGAAAACGTCTTTAATAACTGTTGTTCTATGTAGAATTTTGAAATTCAAAATAGAAAGTCACATGATAAGCACTTATATGTGCCAATTACGAAAAATTATAGAACTTGAATTTGGGCTCATACTTTTAAGACTTTTTTTACACCTATTTAAAAAACCCATTTATACATTAAAGTTAGTTTGAATGAGCCACGGTAATCCTTCGTAGATCTAAAATTTTTAACAAAAAATTATATTAATATTTATAATGTTTCATTCCAAAACAATATATTTATTTTTTTCACTTAATTAATTGAAAACTCTATTCTATTCTATCTTTCACTTATAAATATTGTACTTTAAATAATCAAACTAATATTGAATTGTTGTATTTTACTTCACAATTCTTCATAATATATTATTTTTTTCTGTTAAATATTTAAGCATTATTGTACACAATTTAAACAATAAGTATTGTATTTAAAAATATGTTATTGTATTTATAAAAAATAATTTAAAAAACTAGTCCGTTTATGATAGGTATTCCAAAGCTCATATAGAGAGTTGAGTTCGAGTATTAGTTTTTGAGTTCATATTACAATATGATTTTTTAATTAGATCTAAAAATTTTGAAGTTCATCAAGACCGACCAATTTAAAATCAGATAATCCGTTTTGACGTATATAAGCACCACATCTCTTTTTTATTCAATTATCAACCATAGTTTATCTTACCATTATTATACACTTGTTACATAAGCAAAAGATTTTGTGATATCTGATTGAGTATAAACATTTAACTAATAATATTATAAATTTATACGTGTCGTGCAGCCAAGTATTTGGGATTGAGATCACCAATTCCCCACAAATTCAGGAACATAGTAACTAAGAATTATTTGAAGTATGGAATGAACTTTGCATATGGTGGCACAGGTGTATTTGATACATCAACTTCAGGTCCAAATATGACAACTCAAATCAATTCCTTCAACCAACTTGTTCAAGAAAATGTTTATACTCAATCAGATATCACAAAATCTATAGCTTATGTATCTGTTGCTGGAAATGATTACAATCATTACTTGGCCACAAATGGCTCTATCCAGGTAATTATTTCATTTTTAATTCATAATAAAATATTATATCATTATAGGATAATGATAAATATATAATAAAATTAATTTGTTAAATACATGTAGGGTTTTCCATCTTTCATTGCCTCAGTGGTTAACCAAACCACTACCAATTTGATTCAACTCCAAAGGTTAGGGTTTAAGAGAATTGTTGTTGGTGCTTTACAACCCCTTGGTTGTCTTCCTCAAACTACTGCTCAAAACTCATTCAAAAGTTGCAATAGTACATTCAATGATCTTGTAGTTCTCCATAACAACCTATTGAACCAATCTGTGACAAAGTTGAACCAAGAAGCCAAAGGTTACACCACCTTTGTGATTCTAGATATTTTTGAGAGTTTCAGGTCTGTGTTGAATAACCCTTCGAGCCATAACATCAAGGAACGTTTGAAGCCATGTTGCTTTGGAGTTAGTAGTCAGTATAATTGTGGGAGTGTAGATGAGAATAATGTTAAGAAATATTTGGTTTGTGAAAATCCGGAGTCTACTTTCTTTTGGGATCGGTTGCACCCAACACAGGCTGGTTGGAATGCTGTGTATAATGAGTTGAAGATTAAAAGTCTTCATCAAATTCTATACTAGAGCTGAGTTGTGTGTGATTGTGCCATCTATTTGTATCCTTAATAAGGCACTAATCTTTCTCTAAATTTGTTAATTTATCATTCAATTGAGTTTGTTTGTAAGTTATAACTATTTCATGTGATTTCATTTCATAGAGTGCAATGTGAAAATTATTTATTATTATTATTATTATTATTATTATTATTATTATTATTATTATTATTATTATTATTATTCAATCTCAGCCCAACTTGTCCTAACGTGAACGTGTTGGTGCAAAGGTGAATAAATGATGAACAGAGGAAATATTCTATTAAGAATGACGGCTACAAAAACATGATAATGTTACAATGATTGTCACCTTATTTATAAGCTAAAACTAAAGTTACTAGAATAAGATAAAATACTAAAATATCCTCTAACAAACTTAGGGGCTAATGAAAATAGTACAACTAAATAAATATGAATTACTATTAATATTCTAATACCATCCCTTAATTCATATTCCATCAAAACTTGTAACACCAATTCCATCTCTTAGTCTAAGAAATTGATCAGTCTTGATAGCTTTCGTCAGAACATCTGCCAACTGCTTCTGAGTGCTGCAGTGTACAACTTCTAACACTCCACTCTGAACTTGATGTCTCAGAAAATGATACTTGGTCTCAATATGTTTGCTTCTCCCATGCAACACTGGGTTTCTGGCAAGATTGATTGCAGACTTGTTGTCAATCATCAACTTCAGAGGTTTGTCTACTTTAATCTTCAGATCCTGCAACAAATTCAGAATCCACACAGCTTGGCATGCAGTAACAACACCTGCAATGTATTCAGCTTCACAGGTTGACAACGCCACAACAGGTTGCTTCTTGGAACACCAAGAAATGGAACCTCCCAGAAATTTGAACAAGTACCCAGATGTACTTCTTCTGTCAACTCTGTCTCCACACCAATCAGAGTCTGAATAACTCAGAAGTTCTGACTCATTATTTCCTCCAGAGGGAAATAACACTCCATACTTCAAAGTTCCTTTGATATACCTCAGAATCCTGACAGCAGCTTGGTAATGGGAACACTTAGGTTTACTCATGAACCTACTAACCATCCCAACTGAGTAGCAAATATCAGGTCTGGTATTGCACAGATACCTCAGAGAACCAACCAACTATTTGAAGGTTGTAGCGTCCACATCCTTTCCTTCAGAGTCTGAATCCAGTTTCTGATTTATATCAGAAGGTGTGACAACCATCTTACAATTCTTCAGATCAAATCTCTTCAGAAGTTCTAATTCATACTTGAGCTGATGCAAAATGATACCTTTCTCAGAATATTTGAACTCCATCCCTAGAAAGTATGTCATTTTGCCTAGATCAGTCATTTCAAATTCATTCATTAGAACCTTCTTGAACTTGGCTACCTTCTGTTCAGAACTTCCAGTCAGCAGTATATCATCAACATATAAACATACCAGAGTCATATTGCCTTCAGAAGTATGCTGAACATAGACACCGTACTCCATCTCACATTTCTGAAAGCCTTGCTTCTTGAAAAATGAATCAATCTTCTGATTCCAAGCTCTGGGCGCTTGTTTCAATCCATATAGAGCTTTGTATAATCTGTACACCATCCCTTCCTTTTCTTTTTCATAAATCCAGGAGGTTGTGATACGTAAACTTCTTCTTCTAATGGACCGTTCAGAAATGCAGATTTTACATCTAAATGCATCAGAGGCCAATTCCTGTTAGCAGCTATTGCAATCACCATTCTGATTGTTTCATGTCTTGCTACAGGTGCAAACACTTCAGAGTAATCCAGCCCAGGTTTTTGTAGAAATCCTCTGGCTACCAACCTTGCTTTATGTTTGCCAATTGAGCCATCTGGCTTTAACTTCTGCTTGAAAACCCATCTGACGCTGATGGCTTTCTTGTCTTTTGGAAGTTCTGTCAGCTTCCAAGTCTTGTTTCTCTCTATAGCATCAAGTTCTTCTTTCATGACCTTCAGCCAGAGCTTCTGCTTAAGAGCCTCCTCTGTACTTATAGGTTCAGAGTCTACTAACATGGCACACTGAATAACTTCTCCTTCAGAGTCTACTTCAGTGTCTTGCAGCATGTCAAATTTTGCAAATTTTCTGGGAACGCTTCTGATTCTTTGTGGTCTCTGAACTTTTTCAGAGTCTTGAGCTTCAGAGTTTCCAGCTTCATATGGTTGACTTCCTCTAGAGCTTTGACCATCTTCAAGATCTGGCATATTTTCAGAGTCTTGGCCATCTTCAGAGTCTGAATTTCCACCAGAATTTGGATTACCATCAGAGTCTGGATCATCAGAGTCACCTTCATCTTCTGAGTCTTCTCCAGATTCAGAATCACTATCAGAGTCAGAATCAACGTCAGAGTTTACTTCAACTTCAGAAATTCTTAACTCTGACCTTTCTTCAGAAGTTCTAACATCAGAATCAGATTGAGACTTATCCCAATTCCAAACTTCTGATTCCTTCACAATCACATCTCTGCTGAATTCAATTTTATTGGTTTCTGGATAATAGAGCTTGTATGCACCTGTACTGTGGTACCCTATCAGAATCATCACTTTGCTTCTATCATCCAGCTTCTGTCTTCTGGCTTCTGGAACATGTTTATAGCAAACAGAACCAAACACCTTCAGATGACTAACAATTTGCTTGTCTCCAGTCCACTTCTGCATAGGAACTATTTCCTTTAACTTCTTCGTAGGACATTTGTTGAGTACATACGTTGCAGTGGCAACAGCTTCTCCCCAGAGCTTCTGAGGAAGCTTCTTCTCCTTTAGCATGCTTCTCACCATATCAAGCAAAGTGCGGTTTCTTCTTTCAGCAAGACCATTGTGTTGATGGGTATAAGGAGCAGTAACCTCATGCTCAATTCCATTCTCCTCACAGAACTTCTGGAACTCTTTGGAGTTATACTCACCTCCACCGTCAGTTCTAAGAATCTTTAACTTCTGACCACTCTGATTCTCAGCCTTCATTCTGAATTTCTTGAATTCATCAAACACCTCATGTTTGAACTTAATAAGGGATACCCATGTCATTCTTGTGAATTCATAAACAAATAACACAAAATATTTATTCCCTCCAATTGATGCTACTGGAAATGGACCACACACATCAGAATGTACAACTCCTAAGGCATGTTTTGCTCTTGGAGCAGCTTCTGACGCAAATGGCAGTCTTGGTTGTTTTGCTTCCATGCAAACTTTGCATGACTTTTCAGGCTTCTTAATTGTAGGAATTCCATGTACCAGCTTCTTTGAATTCAGATGTTTTAGGCTTCTGAAATTCAAATGACCAAATCTTCTGTGCCACAGCTCACTCTCCTTCTCAGCACATGTTGCACTAAGACATTCTAAGTCTGTAGTTCTGACATTCACCTTGAATGTTCTATTCCTTCCCTGTTCTGACTCCATAATCAACTTCTGATTGTAGTCATACAGCTTCAGAAGATTGTCCTTCATGGTAACTGAAAAACCTTTCTCAATTAATTGTCCCACACTCATCAGATTGCTTTTGATGCCAGGTACATACCACACGTTCTGAATCAATGCTGTTTTCCCATTGTTCAGAGTCACTCTGACATTTCCCATACCTTCTGCATTAAGATATTTGTCATCAACACATCTGATCTTTGTCCTCTTTTCAGAGTCAAAGTCAACCAGCCATTTCTTGTTTCCAGTAAGATGATTTGAACAGCCAGTGTCCATATACCACCAGTCTGTCAGATCCATATCATCAGATTCAGAGGCCATCAATAGCACAGATTCGTCATCAGAACTTCTGGCTATATTTGCTTCTTCTGATTTCTTCTCCTTGTTTGACCAACAATCTCTAGCAAAGTGACCAAACTTCTTACAACAGTAACATTGGATCTTCTTCTTGTCATACTTCTCTTTTCCCTTCTGAGCATTCTTTTGCCTATCAGAGATTGAGCTTTCTGACTTCTGACCACCATCAGATCTTCTCTTGGCTTCTGACTGCTTCTGATACCTCCTATCAGAAGTTTCTTTCAGAGCCTGCTGCTCTACTTCCCTTTCAGAAGTTCTCTCAGTCAAACGCAACTCTTGCGCTTCTAAACTGCTCTGCAGCTCTTCAATTCTCATGGTACTCAGATCTTTGGAATGTTCTATTGCTACCACAATGTAATCAAATTGAGAGGTAAGGGATCTCAATACCTTCTCCATGATTGTTTCTTCAGAAAGAGTTTCTCCACACACCTTCATCTCATTAGTGATCAGAATCACTCTGGAGATGTATTCAGAAACTTTCTCATTATTCTTCATGTTGAGATTCTCATATTGCTTTCTCAAGGACTGAAGCTTCACCTTCTTCACTGATGCGTCACCACCATAACATCTAACCAGTGTGTCCTACGCAGCCTTTGCTGTCATTGAATCTGCAATCTTCTCAAACACATTTACATCAACACATTGATGAATAAAGAATAATGCTTTCTGATCCTTCTTCCTTACTTCCTTCTGCGTGTTTTTCTGTTCATCCGTTGCATCTACTGCTACCGGAACATAACCATCAGTGACAAGATCTAAAACATCTTGAGCACCAAACAGTACACGCATTTGGATCATCCAACGATTCCAGTTTTTACCGTCAAATACTGGAAGTTTGGTGTTCATGTTACCGTTTCCGTTCATCTTCTACCTTGCACAATACACTCAGATTTCTCACACAGTGTTTCCCAACCCACAAAATTAAATTCTGATCAGATTTTGTTCAAGATTCAACACGAATCTAAGAATCAAAATCAAACACACAAGACCTCACGTTCACTCGTGTTTCCCGTGTTTCCCAATGAATCTGAACCGGAGCTCTAGATACCAATTGTTGGTCCAAAGGTGAATAAATGATGAACAGAGGAAATATTCTATTAAGAATGACGGCTACAAAAACATGATAATGTTACAATGATTGTCACCCTATTTATAAGCTAAAACTAGGGTTACTAGAATAAGATAAAATACTAAAATACCCTCTA